CTGCACGAATGAAAAGAGGGGAACAGGTTAATCCTGTTATGCTTCATAGTGAAAACTGGTTGCAGTCAGTACAACCCTTTTCTTTATTCCAGTACTCTGAGTCATGCGATACTGATCCAACGCCTGTTCTGTGATCTCAATCTACAAAATGTTTCAGGATTTATTTCACAGAAAAGAAAAAAGCACCAGCACACAAACTGAAAGCTCATTTATTGCTAGTTTGAGTTTTTTGGTTTTGGCTTTTTTTATTTACACTTTGCCACCAGGTAAACCATAATAAAATCCAATACAGCTACGCAATAAACATTAATGATGTGAAACTTAAAAGTCTCTCTATTACCCTGAAGCTTCTGGCTGCGCTTTATTTTGTGTTCTAGTAAAATAAATGGCATGCAAAAACTCATGAAGAGCAGTAAAATACCAAACAAGAAAGTTAAGCAGGGGGAAGGAAGGAAACTTGAGGCTTTGGACATCACAGTGACACCCAAAAGCTACATTTTTTCTGTCCCACTAGATTACAAATATGGATTTCAAAGCATGAAATGTAAAAACAGCAGCTATAGTTAAGTTGAAGTTATACTTCTATAAATACAACTGAGGTGGCAGCAAGGTTTTCCAAAGCATCAAAAAGATCTTGGAGGCTCACTAGGATGCATGTACCCACCATTTTGTCATTAATATTTAGCCATATTTTCTGAAAATAATAGAAGCAACATATTGAAAATATTAATTTGCAGAGCTACGGGATTTGTACTGATTTTTATGGATATACTTTATCTGCCTTTCTACCAAAAACTTGTCATTGTTAGGCATTCGAGCTCTTGAAACAGTTGGGCAAACTGACTGAGCCAGAAGGAGGTCAATAAGACTGGACAGGAAATACAGCATTAATGTCAACTGCTCTAAGACTAAGGCTTGTTAGACGCTCAGAAGTGGGTAATGGCCTCCCTGTGCCGCCGGGCTCTTTAGAACAACATGGTCACACTAAATGAAGAAGTATAAGGCTCCATAATTCATTCTTGCACCTAACTTAAAAACTATAGACTCTACTGTTTGAAAGCCACTTATCAGACTTATCTGTCACTTTCTTTGTGGTACACACTTCTCACAATGTGAGGCAGACTGTTGAAACAAGGTTGGTCTGTTGACAGAAGAAAGGAGGAGAACAACCACTCTTTAATGGCTACCTTTATCCTGAATAAGGAAACAGAGCCGGATCTTGGAATTTAGTCAAGAAATAAGGGAGCTTAGACAATGTGTTCATGTGTTCAGCCAGTGTGTTCATGTATAGCCCTTTATAAGTATCATATAAGTATTATGTTGCAGGTCAATTACATTTTACCAGTAACCTGACTCCAAACGTTGGGAGAAAGTTTTGTGTGTTGTGGCTAAGGACAGCTCATCAATAAATGTTGAGCAAAGCAAGGCAATGTTACCCACAACCTTACCCAACCTGATAATCCTGCAGATTTAGTTGTAACTATGCAATAAATGTGTTGCTTTATTGTATAAGGTTGCATGAAGTTAAAACGATTAGTTGAAAATCATGAATGCTGCATTTGTTTTATTGCTGTCTGTGGTCAAACCAGAGAGCGACAATCCACACTGGATAAACATAAGCTAAACAATTTTAAGCTTTTGCTTTTGAAAAACATCAAACCGAGCCAGACTGGATGCAAATTACACACCCAGGGCGGCTGGACTCGGAACAAAAGTTCAGAAGGTGCTGGGACATAAAAGCCAGTGAAATACTGGCTGGGTAACTGTGCAGGACAAGAAGTGGGAATGTCCATGTGGCGCGCTTTGATGTGCCTTTCACAGTGAATACATAAATGCCCCCACAGACGTGTAATAATGTGCTGATAGAATGAAAGAGCAAATCAGCAACAGAAACAACATCATAAAGTTGAATTCAATTTGCTTTCTTTTGTGAATGTAATTTCCCCTGTTATGCACCGGAAGATAGTTGGCAGCAATGTAGTGAAATCTAACAATTAACAGTGCAAACCAAAATAATCGAGCAAAATTAATTGTTTCTAGATGAATGAAACACTGCTCTGTCTAGCACAAGCACCTCTGAAGTTGGACCAACAGCACACACCACATCACCAGTGTATGCTCCAAAGCCTGCATCACATAATACATCTCAAATAACAAAATAATTGAAAATCACCTACAAAACCACAGTTTAAGAGGCCTATAAACACCCTTTTGATTCAGGAAGCTGTCAGCTGTTAATTTCTAGCAAGATATTCTTGGTGGAGAAATATTCAGGTGAAAGCAATCGAGAAAGATGAAACTATGTGGCTCATACTCAAGACAGCCTGCCTCACCTCTCTTAAGTACATAAGATATTTGCACTTTCTGATATAAAGTGCTGAGATTACAGCACAACAATGAGATAAGGTGGTGAAATTAGACATGGTGATATGACTGAGGCTAAATATTGTCCTTTCCTACTTGTATTACAAGTAATACTTGTCCATACACCCCCGATTTGGTGTAATGACGAACCTCCTTGTCATTCCTGTTTGCTTTTCCTGAGAACATGACACCCACCTCTAGATTAAAAAAAATGAGTGAGTCAGTCTTGCCCCCAAACACACATAATTATTACAGTGACACTCGGTCAAAGACGAATAAGCTTGGTTCTGTATAGATGCTGTGCCGTACCCAGGAAATGTTTTATCTGCTCTAATACCTTGCGTGACCTGCAATGTTAAATTTCAGTAAAAACGACACTTAACTCGATCAAACCAAGACAAAGGCAAAAAGAGAAATGTACCTTTTCATCTGTGCACTTTTTAATGAGAGCATCCTTGGCCTGGAGCTTGCTCTCCAGGACGCTGTAGTCCCCATCCTTCTGGTCGATCTGTTTCCTGTGCGTGTCCACCTGCACCATCAGCTCCGAGTTCCGCTTCTCCAGCCGGCTCCGCGCCGCGTCCGTGCGCTTCACCTGCGTCTGCACCTCCGCCAGCTCATCCAGCAAGCGGCCGTGCTTGTTGGACACTGTCCAGTAGTTGAAAGACAGCACGACGATGATCACCATCAAGAAGATGAAGATGAAGGACGGGAGGCGACCTCCCCGTCGGTTTGCGCCAAACCCAACCATTTCCCAAACAAAGTCTAACGATATTTCAGGTTGTTACTGCAACCCAACGAGCTCAGTGAAGACTATTCTCCCGGTGTGAAACACATCCGTCTACGTGACATGCCGTGTATATGCGGCAAGCGCTCGGAAGTCCAGACGTTTAACAGACAGTCATGAACGCTAAAGGACCTTCACATTTCTAGTGATCTTTGCTCTCCTTCCTCCTTCCGCTCACTAGGCATCTTCACTGCAATCCGTCCAATGTTAGTAAGTGAAATACGCCCGCAGGGACGTGGCCTAGCTCAGCTGGCAGACGAGACGTGGACACGACGGCGCCGTGGCACTGAGGAATGCTATAAACCATATAAGCTAGCTGTACAACGTTAGCCTTTAGCTAATTATTTTGTGTCCCTCTGGTAAATCGAGCAGTACCGGACGCACAGACGTCTGGAACTCCACTAATCCCTAAAATCGCCGTCAAACAGGACTGCTGCTGATCCTGAATTCTGACCCCGACGTTACGTTAGCTCGTATTAACTGCTAGCTAGCAACCGTAGACGCGAAAACACCAGCGGCTGCTGTCAGAGAAACACATTGTCTTTAATTGCGAAGGACTGGTTTGAATCTCGTAATACAGCCAATTAAACCTTAAAAAACCCACTGTGAATACTGGGTTTCTGTTATACACTGTCCACGATTCACTGCCTTCCACACATCACGTCTGCGCTGCATGAAGTTGCAATCAGCCACTTTAATTTCCGCTCGCTGCCAGCGGACGTGCGCGTTTCAAAATAAAAGTCTACATTGGTATTTAAATTTCTTTCATAACTCTTAGCACATCTGAACGCTATAGACTTTAGTTTATACTTTATATATTTGTGTTTTACATTATCTGTTAAACCATTGTCTACATGACAAAAGCGATTAAACCTGCCTTAAAACACTAAACAGGGACATAGTTATGACCGGAAGCAGGGCGGTCTTGAAGAGTGATTGATCTGGCTTTAGTACACAGAAGACAGTGCGATATTTCCTTTTTGCGCAATAAAAGTAAATAAAAAATGTAATCTCCATAAACTGATGAAAATTATTGAAATTTCTACATTTCTATTACTCAACAACTCAAAAGTCCAGGTGTACCATGCTAATTATTCACCAAGTAAATACAAAATTGACTGTGTGACTTCAATGCTGCTAAATTACAGCTAAGTAATGAGAAAGTTGGTATATATCAGTCACAAAAACTGTCTAACTTTGGTCTAGTTGCTGGAAGTACTTTTGGTTATTTTTCCAGGTGTTAAAAAAAACCCAAAAATAATAGTCATTCAAGGAAAATGAATTACTCCTTAACGCCCACTCACATCCTGGGCCATCTGATCTCAGGAATTTGCATGATAAGGTGGGGCCAGGTTTCACAATGAACGCACCCGAAACTCTGGCTGATTGGGACCCACACCCAGTTTCACACCTTGGCTCAGGCGATTAGAAGATCATCAGGGGGTCCTTTTGTCCCTCTGTGGGGGGTTACTCCCACTAGGTTTATATCTGGGACTCTCCACCATTTGACCTCAGAACTGAAGAAGCTTCTCGGATGAGAGGTGAAACGTCTTCAAGTAACTCAAAGAAGTCCAGACGCTTTTCTTTGCAAGCTCCTTTGACTACGATGACCTGGATGACTGAGAACCTTCACAGACAATTACTGGTTATGAAACAACACTAACTGGAACAGCTTCACCAAACTGCAATTCATGCCAGGTAATGCAATTACCTGGCATGACCTGGCGTTTTCATTACTTTAGCCACTCCTTTTCAAAGCCAAAATGTGAATACCTGAAGACAAATATAAATAATCTAGTAAGACAGAAAAAAACCCCACAAACAACAAAATACAAACGCATATTTTATTGTAACACGGATAAGAATTGTAACACAATGAGGTAAGTTAAATAATCCACATCTGTGATGTTCTTGAACCACAAAATAGTCACCACCCTATCAGTAACAAATCCACAAAGTCTGCAAACAATGTCCTGTCAATTCAGTTCACAGTTTAATACAAACATGTATTTTCTCTGTTTCTTATGAGGACAAGAGGAATACTGATTACACAATCTCCTTTGTCTTTCAGTCACGGATCCAAACTTACCAGCTGCGTATTTGTGTCTTTTTTAAGAGATGAAACTGAGTAGAAAAGATCCCCTGAGGGAGAAACATTCTTTTGTTTTTCTGATGAGAAATAAGCCACTACAGACACAGGTAGGCTCATTCTGAGTTTGCTACCATTTCTGCTGATGACTTGGCACAGTCTCACAGGGCACTAGGGAATACAGTATGAAGGCATTTCAGTAGCTTTGTGCTGCAGTCACATTGTTCAAAAAACGATCTCACGACACCCAAAGAGTTCTTAAGCGCTTCACAGACATCAGATTCCCAGGGCAGCATGTCTGCAACACCAGCATCCTGGAATGCCCTCAGAGTTTAGACCCAAGTCCTTGTTAGGAGAGTGGTCAGAGAATAGTTTCTCTGCACTCAAGGCTTTGTTCAGAGGAGGGGGAACGCAGTGGATTGGTGCAGGCAGTGGATGTTTGTGGGAGATGTTTTGGACGGCGCATGGAAGGGGACGGTGATGAACTCAAAGCGCCGCAGCTCTGGAGATGAAGATCCTCATGCCCACGCTTTCTGGGACTGCCTATGATGCGCTGGGTCATCACCTTTGAGCACAAACCACCAAGAGTCAGTGACAGACACATAACAGAGGCATTTTGAGACATTTCATATCTCTTCAATACAGATGAAATTCAGTTATGTATCTTTTTGAAGTCTCCAGATGTTTCTAAGTTACAAATTATGCAGAGGTACTTATCCAATAACAAATGACTATTTTTAACACATGATTCAAACTGATAAACCCTTTGAAATAGCAGTACTGAAAATAAAATTGATTAATAGGAATTTCTTTTCCAAATTTAATGCACATGCTCTTTATTATTATTATTATTTTGAAATATTTGAAATGTTTTCACCACAATAATAATAATAACAATAATAATAACAATATTGTGTTCAAAATAGAAAAATGCTGATTGAGCCAATCCAAAATGTCTTCCTGATTTTCATCCCTGTATGTTTGGTTTTGGTGTAAAAAGCTTGTAAAACACTGCTAAGCTGGTCCAGTTTAATGATTTTTTTTCACCACTAACGACCAAAGCCAGAAGGTATACAGATTTCTAAAATGCACTGAACTATCAAAGGCTTTTATCCATAATATATTCAGGTTACCTGATCTATGACATTTGCACTAAAGATGGCCTCCTCCATGTGTTTCTCATCTGATTTAATGACACACTTGATGTTGTTGACAACTTGCTGGACTTCAGGAGGTAGACTGCAGCTCGAGTGCTCCAGGAACTTAGCCACTAGTATTTTGGTGTCTTTGTACATCTTAAGGTCAGCCAGGGAGTGTGGGCGTTCGTTGGAGGAGTGTGTGTGGAGCGATCTGGGTTTAAGGTGGATGTCAACTTTCTTGCCCTCTTTCTGCTGCTTCCTGGCAGACATATGTGTGGGTTTACCTCCAACTACCTCTGTTGAATTGTCCCTTGGCTCTAAGGAGGGGAAAAAGCAGCAAAAATAAAACAAAAACAACCAAATAAACCCGCATTAAATCACACACAGTTCTTAAAATTAGAGCTAATGCCACTTGTAGTTTCTTGAGAAACATGGCTTTTACAAGACTGCATTGCATTTGAGAGAATGCCAAAGCCAGTTTTAAATGAGCTGCAATCATCTTTACACACAACACTATTTTCTTCTTTCTGACAATGCATTTTAATTTATTATAGTAAGCCAACCAGGTTACATTGATTCACAAAATAGAGAGTGCTGTATAGCAGCAGATGTGCAAATTTCTGATGTTTCCCTAACTATCACATGAATTCATCATTTATACGCTCTTACCCTGATCTGGTGATGCATGAGCTAACTCTTCAGTAGCAGGATCAGTTCCAGGGGTGCACCCAGAATTTTCTCCTGTAGACAGGGGATAAAAACAAGCTGAAAAAATAATGTATTTTAAATGTAAAACCCAGAAAAATGCAGCAAATAATGATGTTGGAGAATCTGGAAGTGAAAGATTGATGATGATTCTTAGATGGACTAATTAAGCTGCAGTGTACAGGCCATTTACAGGCCATTTACAGTGTAAAATGGTAACATATTTGCTGCACTTACTTTCTGTCATAGTGGAGCACGAGATAGGGTCACTGGTGGAACGGACAATGCGTGCCAGTTTGCGGTACCTCCTGGCTGCTCGGAGCACCCGAGGCTTCTCTGAAGGTGAGTGTCCACTTTGGGCTGAGGTAGAGGGGGGTTGTGATGCAGAGGAAGGTGACCAAACACTGAAACACAGCCTTGGGCCGCGTGGCCTGGCAGGAGGTGAAGGGGAAGGGGAAGCAGCCAAAGGGCTGAAAGCTGAAGTTCCACCAGAGGAAGCCACAGAGGTGGGGGAGCAAGGCTGAGGTGGCGGGGGGATAGTAACCGGTAGTGTGAGCTTCCGGCTTGTCATTCTTGCTTTGATAAGGGTGTGTGGTGTGGGTTTAGGTGGCTCCTCTGGTAAATGCTTGGCTGAGGCCAGCTCGTCGCATATGTGCATTGAAGCCTTGAGTTCATCACATAGATGTGTGTTCTCTGCTGAGTCCTCTTGGTCCAGATTGCTAAAGTTTTCCGAGGACCAGTCAGGTGAGCGCTCCAGCGACTCCTGCGTGTGTGAGGACTCACTGTATCCAGTATCACTAGGGCGAGCATCAGTGTTAGTCAAGCCACGGCGGCAACGTGAGGCATCACGTGTACAAAGTTCCAGGCTGGTGCAGCTTCCATCAGTGGGGGCAGTGTGGAGCGTGCCATAGGGAGAGGAGTCAGAGCCCTGGACCTCCAGGGAGCACAAGTCCTCTGAGGAGCAAGTCTGGTCCTGGTCAGCCACCTCTGACACCATGAGAGAGGCACTGTCCACTGAGGCTGCAAAAATGCATCATTAGCACGATCACCAGTGGAAAAAGATATTTAGGAACAAATAGCACTGTGAATATTCAAACTGTCTTTACCCTGAGTGCTGAGACCTGCGGTAGTATTTCTCTCACACAGACTGGACTCAGTGGCCTGTTGCTCTATGCTGATGGTAACCTGAGAAGATGAAATTATTAGTAAACATAACAGGAGTCCTCAATAAATATGGATATTTGACATGTGCTATATCGCACAACAGCTGCGTGGCGCCTAACCTTCAGTACCACTGGTTGGTCTGTAGAGGGCTCTGCAAGACCACAACACACTTACCAGTAATTTGTCACTATAAAGAGCAGGGGTACCAGTGCAGAAAATTACAGTATAATGTTGAGCTGAATAGGAACTTTAATTAGAAGCACTAATGACCTTTTTGAGGTACATTATATGATACATATAGGTTCACATAACTTTTTTGATCTCATGGCATCTCAATGCTGAAACCATCAGATTCTGATGATTTCTCACACATCAAATCATTTGCTGCATGGCTGTAGTCACTTTTTGACAGCTTATCTATTTCAGGCGAGCAGACCTTTCTTTTGATTCCTCTTTGAAAGACAAAAAAAATAGGTATGAAGAGAACTGCGGATTTAATCTCTGTAATGGCACAGAGAATAAGTGAGGGGTGATTAAACGATGTTGAGAAGATAACAGAAGGATTTACTCGTACATTAGAAAGTTATTTTTAGCGCTGAACAATGAGACGCAGCAAAGAAAAAAAAAAGCTCTGATCACTTCACCCAGACAGTCGAGGCAGCTGGATGATACTGAGCTTATATTTGTTGTGATTTTGGGCTTCTAAATTTTGCACGTGACATGACATTCAAATGTTTCTAACAAATATTAATTAGAAGTGGAAAACAGTAGACACATAATTAAATCCTAACCATTTTATTAAGGCCTGTAACCCTTAAAAACACACATCTAATCTAAAAATCTTCCCACTGACCTTGAAACCCACTTGGCTTTGAGAGCGAATGCATAAAAGTTTACACCTGTCACATTGACTCTTCCTAAAATACTACATTTTACAAAGAAGTCATTTCACATCACTGAATGCACAACTAAAAGAAAACACGAAACTGAAAATTCATTAATAATTAGAATCTGGTGAACCTCAGATAAAAATGCACCTATGTGGTGTTGTTTTTCCTCACCTGGCTGGCAGGTGTTTGACCCACCACAGACTCATATGGAGGGGGCAGGTCAGTTGGGTACAGGGTGCCTGGGCTGTTGATAGGAACCCCATATATGGCACTGAAGGGAGAATGGGGAAAGTCCAGATGCAAGCCTCTGTAAGGGACAGAAAAGCAAAGAGTCAATCAAACAACCCAAATAATAAAATACAAAGAATGCCTAATAAATATAATTGTCCACTGACTGATAAAGCTGCAGTTAAAACCTTTGTCTTAGGGTAATATACAGTATGCATGTGAACACTGACCAGCTGTGAAATATGTCCACACAATATCCCACTGCTCTGGGCAGAAAAGAGTTTATAGAGGATGTCACAGAGACTATGACCTCTGACCTTTTGGATATATAACAGCTCATCATTTAAAACTTTTATTCTAATGAAAACTCCTGTGAAATGTTGTCACAATTAGAGTATGAATACTTGAGACAATGTGTTTTTGGACATCGCAGTGGATGTAGCGAAAGAGGACATGCAGACCGTTGGCGTGACAGAGGAGGATGGTAGGAACAGGGTGAAATGGAGGCCGATGATCTGGTGTGGCAACCCCTAAAGTGAGCGGTCGAAAGAAGAAGAAGAAGAAGAAATGGCAATGAGCTTTGACCAGCAAAGTGTAACTGAAATTCCCGGAAGGTGTTCATGAGATCTTGAAATGGACAAACGAATGGAAGACAACCAGAAAACATGTGCCGAGGAATGATTAAATAAACAACAAAACTATTCTTGGATACTTGGAATACAAAGAGAGAGTGCTCTGAGACAGTCGCACAGTGTTGTGTTTAAGAAACTGTCACCGCCAGCGTGAATATCCAAGTCAAACATATGGTATTGTCTATAAAAGCCTTAAGAAAGAATGGATGAAAGCGATCCTCTTGTCTCCTACACTCCAGTCCTAACAATATATATCGGCGCTGTATTATTCGGCGTGCAGCACTATGTTTCATATGGTACCAATTAAGAATGAGCAGCCATGCGTGCTGTCATATCTTTTAATTACAACCCCATTCTCCTCTAAAGTGGCAGAGCATGAAATACAACCTGAGTATTTCCACCAGTCATTCAATGCATAATGATGTCATGACACATCCCTGGCCCTGAGCATGGATGCTATAAATGCTTCCGTTGCCTTGTATATATTTATGGGATAACTGACAAACAGATGAGGCTTCCTGCCAAATGGCCACAACAGCACCGCTCTCTCTGCAAAGGCTTAGAAAATGGAGATGGTGGTGAGGGAGGGGGTCAAATGATCTTCCATTGCAGCTGAGTACCGCGGTCACAGCTTCGTAATGGAGAGAAATGCTCTGAGCTCAATGTGGTTGATAATAACACGTGTGAAGAGATGTTGCCATTGCTGCTTAATATGATGGGTTTGCCTTTTCCATGCAAACACTGCTTCGTGCACCTGTATATTTACTTTCTCATAGGAAATCCTGGTGAGATTTACAGAAGTAGAGGTTAAATATTAATGTGAAAATGGTCTTTAACCTAGAAACAGATACCAGTAAGAAAATGCATTAGTTATTATGCTTTTAGCGTCTACTAAACTAAGCAGCATCACTTTGATGTGTGTCCTTTCCACATCCAAAAACCTCACACCTATAATAATAAGTGAAACTTGTTATTATAGGTGCTTATGAAGGGGCACAAGAGTATACAGAACAATCCCATAGTCTGTATATAAAAGCTGGTCCTTCCTGAAATGTAAAGTCAACGTCGAAATGCCTCAAATCTGTTTTTCTTTTTATTTACCAGCAGGGGGAAATCCTTTGGTTGTAAAACATTTGATTTTATAGAGGAGTACAGGAAAAATTTGCCTCAGCTCGCTTGATCTACAGCCTCACTGAACACTTTTCTGATGAGTTTATGGTCTTATTCTCTAGTTTCAAGTGTGCATTTATACTACAATGAACTTGTAATTCCCATGATGTATGGGTGTGCAGTGTCGCTTAGATTCACAGTCAGATCTGCACAGTCTGTGTAGGATTTTAAAAAAATATTTAAGATAATGACTCTTGAGTGTTGGTGCTACTGTGAAAAACTGAAAGCTAGAAGAAATGTATGTTGAGCCACATCTAATTTATTTTTATTTTTATAGGAAAATGGGAAATAAGTGCCGTGGTTTATTAAAATGTGAAAACATAAGTGAAATATGGTGTATGAAGCAAAGACAAAGTTTGTGGAATTCCACTGAGCTTCAAAGTCAGTTTTTGGTATGGCCATCTTTGTTCTTTAACTCAGCCTGAACTATCTTAAGTAAGGTTTCTAGTAATCTCTTGTGGTTGTGTTCATGCATAGTTCTCCGGGCTTCTTGAAGGACATTCAAAGCTCTTTTTTGGATCTTGGCTGCCTTTTGTTTCATTTGATCATAAGAAGATTCCACACTTCAACAATGTTGAGATCTGGGCTGTGTTCATAATTCCATCAACACACTGCTCAATACAACTGGCTGTGTTTTACAGATAGCTGTAGACACTCACTGCTGCATCTCTCTCCTGCCCTCCTCCATAAATACTGATGTTTATTTTAACCAAAAATTATACATTTGAAGTCATCGCTACTTAAGACCTGCTGTATTCAATCCACTTTTTGTGTAATTTGGTACAGCTCAGTGATTGTTCCTCGTTTCCCTTCCTTAAGAATGGCTTCTTGACATTTCTTATGGACATGACTTTCAGATGCTGTTCATCTGCTATAGAAAGATTTTTTAAGGATACACTCCACACCATGCTGAGATATGTTGATTTTTAGCTAATAGATTAATAAAGTTTCTCTCTAATAGCTCTCTGTGAAGCCGTTTGTGCAAAACTAGTATTTGATTGCTGTCAAACTGTGTTATACTAGGTTTCCTATCGAAAGAATTGGGAACAAATTCTGTGTTTTTGCAACAGACTGCTAGCATAAAATGCCTAAAGATACAAATTAAAATTGGTTCTTTGCTAAGTTGTCTGTTTTGTGCAGACACAACACTGGTTCATCCCTTGAGTTAGGTGCCTTTTTATGCTTGAATGATTCATATGTCAGTTTTAAATGGCTAAACAAACAAAATATTCCTCTGCAAATGGTTAGGCATAAGGACTAGACTGCAAAATAATGACCGTAAGCAATTCTTTTCATTGAATAGATTATATAATATAAATAAAACCTCAGAAATAATCCCTAATGTCTTTTTAAAGAGAACATACAGTTACTTGATACCCAATTTGAATTGCTGCCCTCTGGGAGGATGCCCAATGCTTCAAAATAAATAATATTTACAGCTATATTCTTCATTTGTCTGTAGCCTAAAATGAGTGCCATTAACTTGTAGTTTGTGTTCCACTTAATGTAACGAGTTATGCTTTTTTGGATTACACTGCAATTTTTATGTAACTCTTTGACAGTTGCACAAAGATGTAAAGTGGTGGCTTTAGATCATTAAGTGTCAAGTGTCATAGAAAAATGAACCCAGATTAAGTACCATTGAGTTTTTGGTTAATAACGTAGTATTTATTATGAATTACAAAGAAAACGTAAGCTGTTGTGAATACTGTAGACTGCATTTTTAATATGTGAACTTTGAAAGTATCTATAGTTAAAAATGGGATGATGATCAAAACTGCTTTGCTTCTCACCTCTGTCCATCCATTGAGGGGGTACAGGTGTACTCTGGGGGGTAGTACGGCGGTGGGGGAATGGGAGGAATAAACTCATCAAAGTCCAGTGTTTGGTGGAGGATTGTTCCGTGGGGGGTCATACAGTCAGCGTTCAGGGCTCGAGCTCTGTGTGGCATAAACTGAAAGCAGCAACATTTTAAACAAAGAGGCATTATCAAGTTGTCTTTGTAGGTTCTCAGTCAGAGTAAGCTTGGAAAGAAAAGCAACTGGACTTCTTTAAGTTCCTTGAAGAGGTTTCACCTCTCATCTGAGAAGCTTCTTCAGTTCTAAGACCAAATGGAGGTGAGTCCCAGGTATTTAAGTCCTACTAGGAGCTGTCGCTTAAGAGGACTACTGATCTATGTCCAAAATGTGAATAGATTCCAGTGTTCACATTTTGGACAGAGACGACAGATGGTCGAAGAAGCCATCTATGACCACTGTGAACAACCATCCTTGAACAGTGGCGGTGAATTACAACACAGTATGTCACTAACATGTATTCAGATCTCTGAACACGGTCTAACTGATGCAAGTGCCGTGCATGGGGCCAGCTTCTTTTCGAAGGCTCTTTACTCAGCCTTTTCTAAGTGGGACAACTTTCCAGTCACAGTCAACCTGCTTTTCTAATCTCCAGGCTGCCGCCGCCGCTATTGACTCGGCTAAATTTACTGAGCTAAACAAAAGGTTGACACCCTTTGTAGCAAATGGGAAACGAGGCCATTCTTGGAAACTCGACTGGTGGAGATAAGACAGTGCTTTTTTTGTCCTTTGCTTCTCTGTGAATCAATACTTAGAAGTCATGATGTTCAGCAGCCGCTTTAATTTACAGAGGCTTTCCTGCTTTAGTGTTTGCTCTTATCAAACAGTATAATTTCCTACTGTCATATAGTTATCTAACTCCTGCACGGCATGTATGATGTCTTATATTCAGCTGAACCAACAATAAGGTTAAAATTCTCCTGACTGATTCATGATTGATTTGTTATTAGACTGTAGCAACAAAAGGCATTAGCACCAAAATGCATTTATATCTACACTTCTCCATACAAAGAAGTCTGAGGAAGATCTATGTCTGCTCATCAGACATATTATGCTGAGCACTGAAGCAGGGTGTGCTCTGATTTAAGGCATTAATTCAAACTGTGAATGATTTTCCTCCTCCATTTACATTCTTAAATGCTGTATAATTCAAACAGCCTATAATAAATGTATTCATGTCCTTTGTTATTAATTTCCCTTGTATAATCAGAATAAATACGAGAGCTAATTGATACTCATCAATACTTTTTGTGTCTTTGTCTCGCTATTTGTTACATTTTATAAAATAGATTAAAAAAACAAAGTAAAATAATATCCATCCATCCATCCATCCATCCATTCGCTTCCGCTTATCCTTTTCAGGGTCGCGGGGGGCGCTGGAGCCTATCCCAGCTGTCATAGGGTGAGAGGCAGGGTACACCCTGGACAGGTCGCCAGTCTGTCGCAGGGCCAACACACAGGGACAGACAACCATTCGCACTCACATTCATTCGCACATTCACACCTAGTGACAATTTGGATTATCCAATTAACCTATCCCCACAAGCTGCATGTCTTTGGACGGTGGGAGGAAGCCGGAGTACCCGGAGGGAACCCACGCAAACACGGGGAGAACATGCAAACTCCACACAGAAAGACCCCGGCCTGGTGTTGGAATTGAACTCAGGACCTTCTTGCTGTGCGGCAACAGTGCTAACCACCGTGCCACCGTGCTGCCATAAATAATATCATGTTTGCATAAAGTCAATTTTTATGATCATATTTTTTTGCAATAACACTTCTAATTTCTTGAAACCTTGCAAAGTTCACGGTAAAATGTCACATACAGGTGAAAGCACCAGTTTTAATATTGAGACTCCTTTAATCTTTCGGTAGGGTCTTTACCTTACACCATAAATCGCCTTTGAGGTGCCTCCTGTACTGATTTAGCACTATATAAAAAAAGTTGATGTGTTTAAAGGAATGAAATAACTGCTTTTGGTGTGCAAATCAGATGATTTTGACCATGTTAGTTCTGATTAAAACAGTCCCTACCATCCTTAAACAGATCAAATCTGCAGCAATGTGCCGCATGCCCTGATGAAAGCATGAAAAAAATGCATGTTTTTAACTGCAGGGTGGTCACTGAAGAGAGAGTTAATTCAGCTACCGTTGCCGTCTGCACTTCGATCACACTCACCATCTGCAGCACATCAGTCGAGACCATCTGCATACAGCACATTGCAGTGGCTAGAGCACACACAATGGTGGAGATGACGTTAAGGGCACATACACTGAAAAGCAGCTCCTAAAGGAAAGAGAGAGCAGAAGAGGAGGATGTTAGAGTAACAAGAAACATAAGAGCAAAAAGGATATGAGTGACAAATAAGAGGAATTAGAGTCATGTAGGAGGTAAAGTGAGGAGGAGGAAATGGGAAAGAAAGATAGCTGGTATTATGAACAGTAAAGGTTGAGAATATAAGAACAAAAGGAGGTCTAAAGGTAAAGAAGCTATGATAGGATAAGTTTAGGCACATAGCAGGGTGGCACTGCAGAAAGAGAAGCCTGGTTCTGTAAGACAGCTATACAAACACTAATAAACTAGAGTGTTAATGCATTTGAAATACTTTTAAAAGGTTAAGTACCTTTAGAGAGAAACAGAACGCCCGTGCATTTTTGTGGATTGTTGCAAACACACTCTAAAGATCATTAAAATCCAGGGTAAAGCATGAACTTACAGTAGACACACACACACACACACACACACACACACACACACACACACACACACACACACACACACACACACACACACACACACTCTGCCAATGCAGTGAACAGCAAGGGTACAAACCAGTATTGAGTCTGTCAGCAAAATAAAGTGCATGCTGGTGAAATACTAGACCAGCATCTTGAATCAGAGAAAATAGTTCATATGACTGCAGTCCCATTATGCTGCTGTTTGTGCTATTCTTTTAGACAAATGTGGAAGAAAATCATCCGTATTGGCTATTACGATCATATTTCCCATATTTAAGTGGCTCAGTTTTTCCAGTAATATCAGCTTTTGGTATGTCTTTACAAATAAAGCTGTAATACGGGTGCTGCATGAATTAATTTCCAGAAGGCATGGGAACAACATCTGTTTAAGAATTAGCTCAGGGAATAGCAACTGTCTGGCACACACAATGCACTGAAAGGACAAAGGATGACAGCACTTTGTAATGTTCATTCAAAATAAGATAAACTAAACACACTTTTTCATATGTGAACAAAAGAAGTCTGAAGCATGATCTGTCCACTCATGTGCTTGAATAGAATCCTTTAAAGAAAAGGGTTAATCTGATAGACGGATTCACTTCCCGGGATTACTATTATGAAAAAAAAGACAGTTAAAAGGAAAGGAGGAAGGGGAAGCAGAGACGGGTGGGTGTGTGGTAGTATTAGGGGCAGATTAAGTTAAATAAAAAGAATTGAAGGGTTTTTTTGGTCATTATTGTTATTATGATTGTTTATTATTTTTAGGATAAAGTCAAAATTTTGAGAAAAAAATCTAAAAGTGGTGATTAAAGTTTTAAACAGCCACCGTGTACAAAATACCTTGCGTAGATGAGTTAGTGAAACAACTTGATCAGCTTTCATTTTCTGCTTGTGATACGACATACCTCCTGTTCACTGCAAGAGGATGTAACCCTCAGTATCCTTGTATCTGTCCATTGCCAGCTACATCATTTTGCATAAATCCAACCAACTCTTCCAAGTTTGTTTGTTTGTCTCTTTTTGCACCATCTCTTTAACATCTTTACACTTCTCACCATGTTGTGTGCTAAAAGAGAATTCATTTCCTTGTTGCTAAAACCGATTCTTAAGTACGACTTCACCAACTCATCTACATAAGGAATTTTATGCAGGGAACAGCAGCTGTGGCAGTTGTTTGACATGAAACAGCAGCTTTAATCTTCACATTTCAACTTTATTCACAGAGAAAAACAACTGGAGTTGTGTTTTCCAAGTCAACCCCTGTGGACAAATGCAGGTGCACAGACACACGATCACAACGATACTAAACTGCCCTGCTGCCGGCACAACTAACAGGTGCATTCAACAAATGTGTTCAACTAAAATATATGAACTCTTTAAAGACAAGAAGAGATGAGATGGGAGCTAAAACTCGCTGTGGACTTTCTGTGGACACAGGAAGCTCCCCAGTTACCATACAAAGTGGTTTTCCAGCCTGTCTCACAGATTATTCACTGGATTCACGAGGCGCATAATTATCAGTGACATTAGAAACCTCAACTGGTGTTAGGCCCACAGAGAGGACGGCCGCCTCACCTGCTGAGGTTTATCAAGTCATGCAATGCAAAAAAAAATAAAAATGTCCTAATGGATATAAGCCAAATAATCTTTTATACAATCAAATTGATCTTAGACTTTAAAAAGTAAATAAATAAATACAAATCTGCCAATGGGACGATACAATTTTGCACGGCTTGAATTCCTCACTGCTAGAAACAACAATAATAATAATAATAATAATAATAATAATGAACCTTAAAACTACAAAAATATGACGATTTAAGCCATTTGTCCTTATTGCAACTCGATACCAAGTTATTTAAAATAGACTCTATCTGCATTTTTCCAAGTACAATAGCTTTAAATCACTTGTGAAACCTGTTTAAAAGTTTTCAAAATGAAATGCACACTGAGACTTGATATTGGAATAGATTAGCGCATGCACTTCAGTGGCCTGTTATCAATGGTACATCAGTAAAATGTGCCCGATGATCACCAATACAAGCAAGACAGCAACTTCCTTTGGAAAACATTGATGTTGTAGATTGTTGATTGGATTGCTTCATATGATGGACATTTGATGCATCTAGATCATATATTAGGAAAAAACATATGTTTTGACCAACCACAACCTTGATCAAAATGATAAGAACATCCACACTGAAGGAGGTTTAGAGGAAGTGTGGCGAGTTTAACAGCTATACAGTTTGTTACTGCTTTGCGAATAAAAATGTGTTAACACTGACAGGGCATCAGTATAGGGAATAGAGATAGAGCACATGCACATGGGAGCATGACTAGGGAGACAGAAGGGGATCACAACAGATGATAACTAAATGTTGCAAAGGAAACAAAAGAAATATTATACTGAAAGAGCTAGATATAAAGCTAGAACATACACTACATCTCGAAATCCAAAGAAGCAAATCAAGAACTTACAGAAAACTCAAAACATCCAAAAAACTCACAACCCCAGCTCAACAACCCATGGCGCATGACAAAAGATGACAACTCGAACAGACCAATAGTCACTTGCCTACTCCTTTTAAAGTTTGTGTCATAAAATAAATCATTTTAGCATCTTCAGTGTTCAGAATTACCAGCCCTGCCACTGTTTTTCAAACACACTCAATAGCCAGCATCTAGTTGCCAAAGATCAAGCCTGTGTGAGCTGGAAGTTTAAAGCAGAAATGATGCCAGTTGGAACCAAAATTAGGTTGTGCAGTGCCAACTATAAAATGCAGCTAATACATGTTTCCCTTGGAAAATAACAGTTTTGAAACATGTTTTGTGTTGGAGGGAAGTCTGGATGGAGCACAAGCCTGTCTGACATTTTAAGCATGAATAATCACCACAAGCCGACCATTAGAACAGAACTGGTGAAAGAAGACTATTATTGCTCTGTGAGTGCATTGAGAACTACACTACTTTCATTATTAACAAAGTGAAGAACATCCGTTTTTTACAATATGGCTCACATACCACTGTTTTTGCATATTTTATCCCATTTACACTTCACAATAGTGCTAACCCTTCTACTGGGTAGATTTTTGGATTTTCTCTTACTGAAATGATAAGTGAAGGAAAATATTTCGCACACTGAATTGCATTGTTTTTTCTATCTAGGCAATATGTCTAAAAATATTTGGGGGAGGATCAGATAAAAAATTGCACATCAGAAGACCAATGTCCTTTATTTCTGAAGCCCCTACAGCTAGGCTCAGCTAGGATATCAGAACATTTTTTTCCCCTGTGCACATTCAATCTCTTACAATAATAATTATTATAATTGTAATAATAGAACAAATACAGTCCTACTGCCTAATCTGGCCACAAACTTTCTGTGGCAGAGGGCTTAATTGGTTTTTCACATCACTGATCCTCAATTGTTATCCCTCGAACCGTGAAGATCTTGTCCAGACACAAACTAAACATACACCTCAATTAGCTGCTCCCTGTGGCTGACCAAAATACATCCGTTTCAAAGGTGCACCTGGCTTTTATTCAACCGGCTCTGAGTTTCTGTTAAAAAATCTTTCTGACCTCTTTTTGGCAGGCTACAAAAGCTCTTCATGGGATCTGAAAGAAAATCCTGGACCTCCTTTAGGAAGAGCTACAGCAGTTTAAACTCCAGTGACTGAAAGCAGCCGATGTTCTGGCCCCATAAAGTGTTAAATATTTAGAAAAGAAGAGTTTTATTCATGACCCGAAGATGTAACCTTTGTCATTGCTCCCAGTTTCTTTTTTTTCCCTGGATCAGTGCTTCTTAACTGGGACTCCTGAGATAAACATTGTTATTGCATCAGTGTAGCTAGTCTAAAGACATAGCCTGACTCCTTTTTATCCAGATTTCATGACCTGAATGCAGGACTTCAGACCCTATCTTTTAAAACTGATGGATGGATCAGAAAACGGTTGTTGTAGTTCACTAGGGCAATGATGCCTTCCCATTACTGGATGAGTTCCAGAGCAAAAACAATATGTCGAAAGCTGGCGAGCAGCTTGTCGTCAGGGCTCACTTCAGCAGAATACACGTGCAGTTTCATGAGTATTTTCAGTGAGAAGCAGGTAGTCAGGTTGGATTAGAAACCCTTTTGCAGCGACAACTCTAACACGAATGCCAATTGAATTAGAAAGTCAATGATTGATGTGGCAGCCGATAAAGCTCTGAAGTGGAGTTTGCAGAGAAGCCATTAACTGAAATTTTAGATGATGGTGCAAGGTGAATACAAAAAAGTGGGTTTGCACTCATAAAAATGTGAATGAAAAAGGCAGAACAGCAAAAACTGGGAAACCCTGCAGTGCTATTCAGTCTTTGTGTGACAGAAAAACAATTTGCTTTGGATCCAACTATGACTGCACATTGTATTGGATTTTCTGAAAGTTTGCAGTGATATTTAAATCACAATATATGCCTCATATAAGTCAATAAGGAACTCCTAAACTTTGGTTTTTACCATTGTGTGAGTTACTGCAAAAGAAGAAAATCATTTTTTATGGATTCCTGGCTGAAACCTGTATGAAGATGACACACGCTCACAAGTTTAAAACTCATCCCCCTATCATTCAAGGGCATACTGATGGTACACAAACTCACATTTGGCATCAGTATGAAAGGGAATACAGTACCTATCCCTAACTCCAAACACCAGGAAGATGGTGCACTTTACAGATATTTTATTATGCTGTCCATACAGGCAAAGCAAAGCAAAGATGTCTGTTCTTTGTGCTCTAAAGAACCTTGCATAGAGGGTAACAAAAGATACCAGCAAGGCAAGTCTTTCACTGTGAGTCTAAAACCATTATTTACCAAGAATACAAATAGAGAATATGTCTGGGAATATGGCCTTGCCTTGCTGTTGGCAGATGTTATCCTTCTGAGTTTTACATGTGGAAGGTGCCAAGGCAGACAGAGAAAATAAGCAGCAAATACAATAAATACAAAATCACTCTGTTGATTTTTTGATAACACTGCTGAATGCAACACTCACAAAAAAAATTGCTGGCAACACTTAGCTAAAAGCATCATTGTTTTCTAAAAAAGATTAATCCACTGTGTACCCCTGCAGGGAGCGCAGAGGTGCAACTCAGTACCATCATGTAATAGATACACTCTTTGTGAGCTGGCTGACTGTCAGATGTTCTCTGTTGATCATCTACGTATCCTGCTGTGCAGCTTTGATAGTAAAGACTCTACCCTGAGACAAAGCTGAGATTACAGTAGCGCACAGCTGCACAGGGAAACAAACCTGTGTCTAACCACTGCATGCACTGCAGCACTGAGTGATTTTTCTCAGCGGAAGAATCAAGAAATATTTACGATGGCTTTGTGTGACTTCGAATTTGGTAGTGCATCTGCCACACAGATGTGAGAAGATGCATTTCTTTGATTTCCCTTGTGACTACAACATTCACGATGCCACCATAAATCCTGCCCGGCAAAGAAAATGAATAAGGCCGCCAACACGTAAAGGGTGTAGCATGGCTGCTCAGCAGATATTTAACCTCTGAAAGATACCTTGCCCCAGGTCAATCAGGTTAGTGAATAAGGTTACACATCCGCCCCTTTACAGGAAATCGCAAATTACCTCAGTACTCCCCCTCACTGATGATTTATAGCCCCGGGCAGAGTAATGAAAAGAAAAATGGGGTGGAAATTAATGTGCCAGCACAGAGCGAATGACAGACATTGGCAGCAACGGTGGCTGGTTTAATTTTCTTGTTTTTTTTTAAGAAAAGCGCTACTGCTGAGTAACAACAACTAATAAGCGAATGAGAAACCAATTTTACTCAGTCCACCTGCTTTTATAATTCAGGACACTGTGTCGTTTAGTGATCGAGGCACTATATGAGTTCATTAGAGTCAGCAGTCGTCTAACAGCCATCTGAAATAGCCGGAGACTTGTGTGTGACAGCTTCCTCACAGACATAACTCAATACATCTGACTTCTTTGGCACTTAATAAAGGTTTATAGCACCAATTCTCCATCTCTTCCAAAGAGTTATGATTACAGTGACAAATGTAGTTGATCTTTCCTCTTTTCATAAGCATGCTTCATCCTGAGAAGTCTTTTATTTGGTTATCAATGTTTTATAATCAATCAAGGATATAAAATGAATGGATATGATTGTCGTTATGCAATAACGGCGCAGTAGGACAGATTATATATCATTCCCTCTTATGCTGCGAGTCAAGATAATCTACCGAGGTCATACTCTTGCAAACTAGAGCCAGCCCAGAGTAGATACTTGCTGCATACTAAGAGGTCTGCCTATTGGGGAAAGACAAATGCTTTTGCTGCTTTCTGCTCAATTAATCTGAGAAAGAAACCCAGCTTTGTTTTGTATTGTTCCCTGACGGCAAATGCTACAGTAAGAAAAGAAATCTGAAACCTGAGGTTAGTCTGGTGACTCTCAGAGGATGTAGCTCTAAAACCAACATGTTGACCAGCTACAATTCTAACTATGGAACCATATCTGTAGGTTTGTTCGATCACAAACAAAAACATCGGTCAAAGACACAAAAGAAGATTCATCCTAAAAATATTAAGCTCAGCAATTTAACCTAAGTTGTTGAGATGTTTCACTGAAAACTGCAACATTCCCAATCTTGGAACTATTAATATCTGTACAAAACTTTGGTAACAGTTTATATGCATGACCTGCATCTAAGGGTCTCACTCCGATGTAATTAAAAGAATATCAGGGTATGTTAATTCTAGTTATCTACAAATACTTAAAGGTAGGTTCACTAGAATGAAGTTAAAGGAAGAATAAAACAAAAATAAAGGAAACAACGAAACAATTATATTGTAAGTACATTTAAGTACTGTAATTTTTATGTATTGCATAACCTCGGGTATTTTAGCAGACACAAATTGTTCTGTAAATAATTTTAAGTATTTTGTAAGTAATTTCGAGCGGCGCATACCTTCTGGTTATTTTACATGAAAACTGACATATATTATAATGCAAGTAAGTTTAAGTTTTACATTTTCATTATCCTGATGTGCATGGCGATGTTCTATTATTCAAATGTCCCTTTCTTTTACCAATATTAATTATATAAGGACTATTCTCCCTTTCCAGCTCAGAGAAAAAAATAAATACCATAACAATTTGCAGGCCTATGTGACTTTATACTGATGGAGCCAAGTCTGGCTTTTGTCCTTACCGTGTAATTACATTGTAATTTCAAATTTTCAAATTAAGTACATTGAAATTCCATTTAATTTAATTGGGAAAACACTCTTAGATGCAGACCATATTATAAAACGCTACCAAAATTTCATCCAACAGTTTTTCAGTCTGGATCAAAGTGTTGCTCTCCACTGAATGATACTGACGTCACATGAGCCATGACGTAGCATGACTAAAAATAGAGAGGAAAGATCATGAAAAACAACATTTGCAGGTGACAAACAAGCACCAGGAGGTGGTTTATGGATCCAAACTGAGTTCTCCCTGACACAGTTCAATCAGACCTCAATTTCCAGCTCTGGATTGCAAAAACACAAGAAGGCAAGTAAATGAATAAATGATGGGCATTTTTAAAAAAGGCAGCTGTTTGGATTTGTGTCTCAGTCTGGCCTCCCAAATGTCTCTAAAAATGTGACATCACTGAGTCGTTAAAGCTGGCCATGACGGTTTTTGCCAAACAACTACCAGACAAATGTAAAGTGTAGTTCAGTCATACCGAATGTTTTTATGTTAAAAAAAATATACCAGTCACAATATACAAACAGACACACCTTGAGACGTATACGTATCGTATTGCAGTCCCTCAGTGGATTTAGCTTCAGCGTCTCTCCCAGGCTGTTGCAGCTTGAACTTTGCTTCTGTAGCTCGCAGCATACACACACTCCATCGCTGTCAAACTTGAGCTGGGGGGGTGAAGGAGAGAACACACATCCGCACTCATGCATGCATGCCACATACACGGAAACACACAGGCACACACACACACGTCACACACACACATACACGCACAAATCAGGCCTGAGCTTGGTTTTCTGATGTCACTTTTTTCTGAAGATGAGTGACGAGCGACATATTTACCCCTGACATAAAACATATTCTCAGTTACAGGGCGTGTAATCAAAAACTTTGATGACAAAGTTCACAAAACGTATTTCGCTGTGATTGAGAAAGGCACCTGCACATGCATAAAGAGACAAAGGACTGTGAGATATGATGAGCTTCCCAGTAAAGGACAGCGGTAGAGCATACCTCTGCTATGTGTCCCAGATTGAGAGAAAGCAGGACATGAACCCAACAAGTATGGGTTAATTACATTGGGGAAAGGAGATGAAGAACATTAATATTTCAGTCACGACTGTGGGAGGGTCTCTGGGGAACCACATAAAGCGGTGAAGTTGGTGTAGTCGGCTGCTCCCACTTGCATAAGGACAAAAGCTGCTTATAATGTGGAAGTGCTCAGGTTAGTGGGTTGGGTGCCAGATGAATCACCAGGGGCTGCATCAGTCATGAAAAAGATAGAAACCCCTGGTACTATGAATTAAATTAAAAACAAATCAACTAGGAATCTCATTATGTAAATCTGCATGATGTTTTGATTGTGTTGTGAAATGGGAGCTCACTCAAATACCTAAAGATATTTCAAGCTTGAAAAGTCCTAATTCATAGTTCCATTCAGATATGTCCGAGGTAGAGATATGACGAGATCAAATTTTCACTCGGCTGCTATCAAGGCCAAAAGAAATCACGACAAAAAATGAAATCAGGTGAATGCAGTGTGATTGATGTTAACACGAAAAACGTAAAGGACACCAAAGCATCCTAACATAAATAAAATAGCATGAACAAATGTCTCCGATATATTCAGATGCACTACAGATATATATACACTACAGCGAGGCTAAAATACAGCACCAATGTGCAGTGACTTAATCAGGCCACAAACTGTAGAAACACCTGTGAGTCAAGTGCTTGGCACCACAGGCTAACAGAGCAGTTAGCTCAGAGCGCTTAAGGTGCAGAGAGGAGCAAAGAAACTGCAGGATAAGAGAAGACAACAAATCTGGAATTATACTAAAAAACAAGTCCTTTATGGTCACATTAGGGAAAACAGTGGTGGAAAACAGCAGCACGAGCAGAACTATTGCGATAGTGTTCAATGAACTCGCAATCTTGTTGCCGTAGAAATGAATGCTGGGACAGGTACTTTGCATTAAGACAGCGATAAAATGGTGAAATCAGTCTTTTATTCGTTTGCGACTGAATAGGGTCAAGTTGGCAGTTACATGCTATCTCTTTGTGTTGATATGACAATTAAATCAGTGAAAATTGCAAATCTGTTATATACACAGAAATTCACATTAACTGCTTAATTTCATCGTCCTGCCAGAAACCTGGAGGTTTGAAACTTAGATTAGATTCACAAATCCTTCTACAAATAGTGACGTAGATGCTGGCAGTTTAACTGCAAAATGATATAGAAGCTCACCTCAGCCTTAATTTTATTTTATAGGAATATAACCAGAATGAAACGAGCGCTGAGTCTCCTGTTGCAGACAAGTTGCATTGATCACTGCAGACTGACTCCAACTGATTGCAGTGTGTTAGCAATCTGTCTGTGTTTATAAATTAGATTGCGATAATTTTTAAACATTTACCAGTCTGTCTGAGAGTGACTGCTATTCGAGTCTGATGCAGTGATTGTTGGGAGACAGGTTGCCTCCCACAAGGACACCAGTGATCAAAAGTGGCTGCCCAGAGTTTGAGGGTGTTGCATGCTCAGTAGCTTCTTGCAATTGATTGCCAAAAGTGAAAAGAGTTTACTGCAATCCCTGGGCAACCACTGATTTTTAGCAGTCACAAAGAGGTGAAACTGCAGTCTAGTAGTTCATGACAAGTAAGAGTTGCAACAAACTGGAAAGTGTGACCACAACTGTTCTGGTGGTGGATTATTCTCTAAATATCATGTGAATTTTTAAAGTTATATCTATTTTTCACTTTTAATTACATTTCAGAAACTTTCCTCAAGACATTCACTGAGTTGAGTTAGAAGTTCTCCCACAGCTTTCACGCCTCTGCCCAGCTGACCAATCAAAGCATGAAGTGGATGTAGACGTCAGGACAACAGTTTGAGAAAGTTACACATATTGCTGGTGACGGCCGCTCCAACAATTCTGACATTAAAACATTTGGGGAGCGGAAATTTCCAACAAGAAGTGACAAGCGCTTCTGGTGGCGTATTTTGGGCCCTTTAATGTATCTGTATGCTTGAACGCACCGTTACAGTCGGGGTTTCTCACCGTCTGCTGTGTTTGTTTTGACCACACTTTTTAAAAATGTCTCCCAACTTTATCGGAGTGAAACAGAAAGAAAGAAAAAACATTGGCTTTCTCTTTCAGAGTTGTTTATCTATTTTATTTCAGCTCTCTGTGATTCTGGCAGAGATGGATGTGTTTATTGGGAGCCATTAGTCATCAACAGACAAATAGTTCAGCTGACTTTCGGTGCTGACTCAGTCCTGCAGCCTGTTTGGAACAGAAGCGCTGCCCGTCAGCCCATCGTGTGCTCGCATTCATAGATGTAGGCTCCCATGCAGACAACACATTTCTATTAGTCACTCACTCTTCATGATCCCTTTCGACCATATATATTGTTTCCACTTTTATTCACAGCCTTAGTGCATACCCCTACAAATGTTAGTGATAACATATCAATATTAAGATCCATTACTTGTCATTGACTGCTAGTGGGTCAACTCAGGTGTTCATTCTGGTGACAAGGGGTTATGGTTATGAGTTCTAGACATGAAAAATGTTGATTGGCTGCTCTGTTTGGTGAATATGAACTATGGACAGACTGGCTAGATATACTATTCAGCAAAGTTTTGATTTGATTTGATGTCTGTGTGCTCTGATTTTACAAATTTATTTATGAAAACAAGAGCTTTTTTCTGTATTTTGTATGAGTCAAGTTCAGTACTAGGTTCAATTCACTGTCTAATCAGTACAGATCAGAGACACTGCATCATTTCTTCCAATTATTAAGTTTAAGCCTCCAAAAAGCCACATTAAAAGATTAATGTCTTTTTTGGAGTGTACTGCAAAGCTGGAGCATGCATGGGCTAAGGTCCAGTTGGTCTCACCAGCTGACAGTCTTCCAGAGAGTTGACAAGTTGAGCGTTCTGGCAAGAGAGGATGGAGCCCGCCAGGTTTAGCATCACACAAACTGCAGACAGCAGCATGAAGAATGTGATCTGTGAGAAAAAGAGAGAACGAAGAGAGAAAATATTTGAATCATAATGGTATTAATGGCAAATTGTAGCTTGTTGCTACTAAAATTGATTCAGCGCTTTCTGATACTGTTGCTGAAAGTAGCAGAGGCGCAGTGTACTTCTCTAATCAATCGTTACTCACAGTGACTCTAACAGATCACCAAAGAGGAAATTAGCTCTGATGTCAGGAGAAATCAATAACCTGTTCCCCCTCAGGCCTCCACAGTCTGAAGGCACACAATGACACAAGAAACAACTTACTGAGGGATTGAAATTCAAAACTTATTTCTGTTTCTCAACATCATCACAGCTGTGAAGTAGCTCATCTCTCTCAGACACACATGTACAACCTCAACAGATGTAATATTGTCTTACACTCTAAACCAGTGGTGGTGTCTCTCCCTCGACCCCGTTTTCCTGGGGGTAAAGGTTTCTTTTTTATTTTCTTGGATATCAATCCTGTTAGTGGAAACATGGCTTCTATTCCTGCCACTTGACATTGCAGGTCAAGCGTAAAAGAAAAGAGTTTTAAAAATGACTCCTGTCCAGGAAACTGAAAACCAGTCTCCTGCATTGTGTACCAAAACTGACACCACAGCTGCATCTGATTGAAAACTGTAATATGGAGCTATTCCCAAAGTTTGCTTTTGCAGAGTGTTGGGACACTGGAACAGCATTAGCCGAGGACACTGAGGTCACTAGAAGGAGGAGTTCGATGCGTAAAAAGGTTATTGGGAACACACCTAAACAGATGGAGAGGAGGAGAGCCAGACAAGGAGGTGGAGAAGGGAAGGAGCTGGAGGTGGCATGTAATAAACAGATGGAGCGATAAGTTTAAGTGCTTTTTTCCATGACAGAAAATTGAAAGATTGAGGGGCTGATGGGAAAGCTTGAGGAGCAACTCCTTAGATGGCAGAAAGCAAATAAATAAATAAATAAATAAATAGAAGGAAAAGAGTGAGGATGAATGCAAACAAAAGAAAAAAGAAACGAAGGAGACAACCGGTAATAAATGGGGACAGAAACATGCAGGGGAGGAGACAGACAGAGCATGACTCTGGAGTCCCATGGTGCATCGGTGGTAATGATGTGTATATCTTCTTAATTAGTATTTCATTTGAATGTGATATTATCTGTCTGGTTCGGTGGCGTAATAGCTGCGCAAGAACAATACCAGACTGAGCAATCTGGTCTTCAAGAAATGTATTATTAAAAAAATTTCCATACCTCTAAAACAAGGAGCCTGTCTCATATATTTAATACCGACGTGGCACTACGCATGTTTTTGAAGTTCTGCACTGCAAGGACACAACTGCGCTCAGTAACTTGCTGCCCGACCATTGGTGACATCTTGAGAGACATTAGTCAAAAATAGACTTCCCGTCTGTTAAAATAAAAAAAAATGTTTCAAAGTGGATGACAAAACATGTCCAACATGAAGGACATAATGTTGTTTCAACCAAACAGCACAGGATGGCCACGTGCCGTGAGCAAAATCCTTGCTGTTGTTGTTTAAATGCAGTTATAATCAATATTTGGATTCCTCCATCAGCAGATAAACATGACAGTGTCTCTGGTGAATGGATTTGGATACTGAATGAATCACAATCTGCACTACAAGCTGGACATGCAGCTGAACACTTTGTCTAACAACAATCACCACAAGGACAGACACAAAGACAACGACTCAAAACTCCTTATTGTAAATTATTTTTAATTTACTAAATCACTGTAACCTAGTCATTTCCCAGCTTTTCTGATAAATGTAAATTATATGTTCTTCTTCTCCTCAATCTTTCCATTTATATTAACAGCAAGCTATTGCACAAACTGAGAGCATAATCACTTATGCGTCTTTCACTTACACCCACACTGACCTGTTACCAGTTAATCTAATTAGCTGCAAAATGTTTCCTTTTAGCACCACTAACTTTCTTACTTACCAGCCTTCTGTTGGCTCATTCCACTTTTTTTCTTTTTTTGCAATCAAATTCAAAAGAAAATAAGCTAAACAAGCTTTTTCTTAACATGGCAAATTTTCTCACTTTGATATGTTTTCCACAATCTAGTTTTAATCAAATATGTGTTCACGAGAACTGCAAATTACTACATTCTGTTTATATTCACAACTTACACAGTGTCACAATTTTTGGGGGTTTGTACCTCTTCACAAACAACTGCCAGTAATCTCCGCCAACAACTCACAACTGGTTCATTAATAGGCATTTTTCCCTCATGACCAGTTGATTAAGTCATCTGAGCGCAGTGATAATCTGTTTGATGAAAATATAATGCCAAACAAATAGCTGTGGCGTTATACTGTAAGGTTCATATTCTCTGTAGCTCTCTAGTGTTATAATTATTACAGTAAGAAACTGTTTTGTTTTTTATTTCACAATAAGTACAATTTTTTGATACTGTCAAATCTAGCTGCCAGCACTTTTCCATAATTTAACAGAATACATTTCTTACAGAGAGTGTTTTTCTTCCTTTTAAGATGCATGGAAAATGATACGCAGCGTGTGGCTATACATAAATCTGAACTGTACCGCTTGAGCTAATTTATAAAACAATAGCTAAATCATGAAAGCACGTATACACACACACTGTATAGTGCTGTCAAACACACTGTCATATAGGGAATTTGATCAATTGTCTCCTTGACAAAACATTAGCTCATTATCATCGATTAGATGCATCTGTAAATAGCAGCTATGACTGATTTTCTGACTGCTGGACAAAGTGTGGAAGTGTCTGTGTACACAGGGCTGACATTTGTCAGCCAAACCAACAGGATCTGCCTGTTACGGTTTAAAAAACATAAACACACGGATCTACTGTTTCTGCTCATTCTTTCTGACAAGTGTTTTGAAACTATCTAACTGAGGTTTGTAAAAAGCAACATCACTAATGCAAGGCTGTGCTGCACAATTTTCTCTTGGCATCCTGGATTTATTATTCTCTATTCAGGTTGCACCCAGCCATGGTGAGGGCTCTTTTGGTGTGGAAATTAATACGGTATTGTAGATGAATATGGTAATAAGCAGAGAAACAGACGTTTTGTCACAATATCCCCAATTGGTTCATCCTGTATTGACAGTAATAGTTAACATTTGCAGACGGCTGTTTTGTGGAAGTGAACAGGAAGCAGAAGGCATTTTCATTAGTTCAACTGGGGCTGCAGGAGCATTTAACTTGAATGATGCCACGACAGAAAATACCATGATGAGGTTATTGTAACGTGCAAACTGATGACAGTAAAAGCTCCTTGGCTGACACACACGGCCATAAGTTGCACATTATTGAAAGCACTCCGTGTTTGCCTTGTTGCCTGCTGAGCCAGTCAGATACAGTACTGTGCCTCAAACAATTACCAACTGCAATTCAAACAGAGGAGAAAACTGTTTTTCTTTATCAAAGCTCCAGTGACTGCTGGAGTGCAGCGCCGTAATATCATGTTTCTTTAAAAGGATATTTAATTTCTAGTCGGGCGCATTTGCATAACTGTTTCGTGAATCTGTGTCAGATCTTACAATTACCCTTTATCTCAATATATGGCTACAATAAAAAGCACACAGCCATGAAACAGAAGAGCAGGTGCAGCCAACTTCATCGGTTCAGATTTACTATGCCGCTCGTGCAGACACCCAAATGTGTGTGTGTGCATGTCTGTGTGTGTTTCTATTTTAGAAAAGACCACAAATAAATCCCTTTGATTTGTCCTCCCCAGGCCTGTGTGATTGAGGCTCTCACCTGTGCACCGCAATGTTTTCTCATTGCTGAACTGATTGTCATGCCTGGCCTCATACAATACTTTCTCATTACCATGTAGGATCACACAGCACCATTAGCAGCTAGTCATTAATTACTGCTGTGCTGGCCTCTGCATGCCAAAGAGGAAAACACACACACAAAAAAGCCACACACACGGCACTCGGTCGTGGCAGATTTACGCTGCATGTCATCATCACATCGTTTAACACTCTCTACGGAGGAGAATACACCATAATACAATCACCATTCATCTCCATCAGACACACATAGATTAGCATATAAGGCCCAAGGTGTGCCGCTGTAATTCTCCATAACTGTCACTGAGGCTCAAATCATTTGGTTGCAGCTTAGCCTCTTAGTGTTCTGCATCCAGTTTGTTCTTCACATGCAAAGAAAAGTGATGATGCTTTTTGTATGGATGCATGCATCCATACAAAAACTGTAAAACTGCTACAGTTATATTGTCCGGGGCAACATTTTCCCAAGCGTTTTCTATGGATTTCTTAAAGGACTGGAAGCTGCCTGATTGCCTGATTTATTTCTATGAAAGCTGCTCACTTTTCATACTCTGAAAAACACAGACTATAAAAAGAGCTCTTAACAATAGTGATAGAAAAGTCAGTTGACTTGCATGGCGATCAGAAGTCTTGCTGCTTCAGGTTTTCTGATTCGTATGATTAAAAAAGATGTGATGAATATCCATCCATCTTCATTCATTTTCATCCTTCCATCCAGGTCGCGGGAGTGCTGGAGTCCGTCCCAGCTGCCACAGAGCAGGAGTTTGAGTACACCCTGGACAGTGCTGACTGGAACATCTGTTACTGTTACATCCATGATATTCCAGAGCGTGGATGGTGAAATAACCTTCACAGCCCAAAACCACTCTGGGTGGCATGTTTTTTGTCATATTTTATTTTCATCTCAAGAAATAGCCCAACCAGCAAGTCAAGTAGTATCATTCTATCAAAGCTGCAAGCGTTTCAAGGATGCTCACAATGACAGTAAGGCAGTGAGTCATTCCCAAATCATCAAAAATGCATGTTTGATACTCCTCTGCATTAGAAGTTAAAATTTAATCTTATCAACGGGCATATTTGAAAATCAACCCAAGTAGTCTGTAAAACACAAACGTCCACAATGAACTCCTGCTTGGCATATTCACAGTCTTTGTGCTACGCTAACCAGCTGTTGGCTGTAGCTGCATATTT